TTGGTATAATGTCATAAATACATGTGAAGATCTATTCTTGTATCATTATTTATTGTATTCAGCAAATTTCCTCTGAGAGGCTTGTATTTTTGGCGGCAGTATTCGGTTCCTGATCCCATACTTGGAACCAGTTTTGTAACCAATTTGGGAATTCTTCTATCACTGGTATTTTAATTTTATTATATATATATATATATATATATATAGAGTCTATTTTAGATAAAATTAATTGTCATCCAAAAAAACCAATAAAATACACTGTTCACGAATATGGTTAGCAAAGAAGGCTATTTATTATTATTATTATTTATAAAAGCTAATTCCTTCATTAACCTCTGCACCAAAAGTTCACTAGAAGAGGTTGTTTTGATACCCAAATATCTTCAAATTAATCATCTCGACATCAAGAAGCATGGACATGAGAAAAAAATGAATTTCAAGTTTTGAAAAAAGTGTATTTTGTAATACAGTTTTAGACCATCAATTTTCAAGTTTTTAAAATCTGTCGATCTACACTATTTTTGAAGCTTTGAACTTTATTAAATATAAAAATATATTTTTAAGCTATCACAAAAATTTCTAGTAGTGAAACCACATTTCTCGACACTATTTGAAGGTAGGTTCTAATTTGATTGTTTAGAGCCTAGGCTCTATACAAAACACACCCTTTTCTATTTTCAAAACATTTTCTCTGAAAGAAATGTATTGGATGAAAGCAGTTCGGTTGTTTTTTTTTTTTAACAATATTACTGATCTTTATTCATAATGCTGAGTAAAGCAAGATCAACCAGCAATTACATGAGTAACCTCTAAAGAGTCCAAAGCAACAACTCCAGTGGTAGCCCTATACACATGCTGAAAAGCGAGTCCCATCCCTCTACGTATATCCAACACTTGAGCCCCATACTGACAACAGTCTCCACGCCAATTAGCTCTTTTTATTGTACCAGTTAATTATATTTAGGGGTTCACCTTCCACAATACGCACACAAAACTCTGCGTTATCCGCAGTATGGACCGAAAGAAAGTAATACATGTCCTTATGAGTTTCGCACCAAACCGCCATCCCGGTACAACCTGGATTCCTAACTAAACTACCATCAAAATTTTAACTTAAAACTTGAGTTGTTTTTTATTTTAACTTAAAACTGGAAAACTCCTCATAAATGAGAGGCCCTTCTTTCATTATGAAAAGAAGAGGGGGTGGAGGTCTTTACATACACAACACCCGTGACAAAAAGTGTGAGAGCTCTTATTGAGGGAGGAGAGAGTACAATTACTCTCCCATTTAAATTCTACATAAAGATCCAACCCTAGGAGATAAAGAACTTTGCGAGAACAAGTCTGACCTTGAACTGCTCATCATACTGCATTTGTACAAGTATTCGTGAGTATCCACCTTGCTCGAGGTTTTCAGTGTGGAACTGATTTCGACAGCTCTAGTAGTTGCCGAATTACCTACACGAGTTGATCATCTTTCTCCAAATTTGTTCACTGAAATTGATTTGTGAGCACTCAGGAATGATACTCGGTTACTCACTTGTTTAATTTCTGCTTCCGTTTTGACTGTTGGACCGGTTATTCTATATAATATAAATTTATTATATTATTTTGAATTTGATTCTTTTTTTAATTTGAATATTTTTTATATAAGTTTATTTAACATGACATTTTGATAGTATGTTAACCTCAAAAAAGGACCAAAAAAAAAAACCAGCAAAAGACAATACGCAAACAGTACCCATACACATTGGTCGTTGAACATGTCAAGATTGAATCCACACTGCTGGGCTACTATTATTCCAAAAGGATGTGTTTACACCCACAATTTGATAAGAATACCAACACAGATATGCACTTTCCAAGCAACACAGCTTCCTTAAATTCAATAGAGAAATAAATATACACTCATCATTTAGCACTTGTTGTATATCTCAGCTCAATGACACATTATGAGGCATGGGGACACAGAAGCCAAAAATTGTTACCCCACACAGACACAGATCAATGATACATCACTCCTTCACCTTCCACAACATTACCGATAAGGTATGCCTTGTGTTCGACTAATATCTGGTTCGAGGCCTCCTTGCTTACAACAAGGACCATCCCTATGCCCATATTGAATGTTCGCCTCATCTCCGATTCCTCGATTCCTCCAGACTACAAAACCAATTTCGAATGTCAGTTAATTTTCTATTCCTTCATATATCAACATAAGTGGACTGTACAAGTATGGAAGATATTCTTCGTAAAGCTGTGGTTTTATGGTTGAACCTGAAAATCTCACTAAAGGGTTTTGATGTTAGGAACCTTGCAATCAATCATTTCTACCTCAATGATCATAGATATGGAAAAAAGGATAGATTTCTAGCCTGAAAATAGTCCATCTTGCAACATCTTTTCTAAGCCCTCAATTTCTAGTATTTACAGATTTGTTGGATGTGCAAAATTTTTCAAGCTTCAAAATCCACAGCGACGGGCTGAAATGGATTATAAGCCCATCACAAGGGGTTTTTGATGCTATGTCTGGTTTTCTGGGCAGGGCTTTGAGGTACAGCCTTGCCAAACTTTGTGAAGTAGTGACCTTACCAAAACCTCATCCTACAAATATTAGTGATGCAATGGGCATGCATATGACTAAACAAGTCAAATTACCATGGATTATTCGGAACCCCACCCAATTTGTAGAATATCCACTTTACTACTGCTTTACTCTTTTTGGGGTAAAAAAACACTGCACACAGACACCCAAGAGAGAGATCGAAGGCGGGGTGGGTTTGACCTGGAGGCGACGGAGGCCCAGGGGGAGGGGCAGTAGGGGTTGCGTATGATTACAGGTGTTCCAGGGAGAGTGTAAAAACCGTGCAAGGTGTCCAATCATATATGTACCCTGATGACAAATCCCATGCAAAGATTATCTTACCAATAATCTATCTACTGCAGCCCATACAGTCGATCACTAGTATTCACATTCCTTTAAATGCACATAACATATAACAGCAAGCTAACCACAGTAACATCTTCAACAACTCTATAATTTATTGGTACTATTAAGGGATTTGGAATTGAGCTCATATACCTCCTGGATCCAGTTGAAAATGGCAGGGACTTCCCAAGAGCCTTTGTCAATTGCAGCACCTAGACCTTTCGGAAAGACTCTCGGAATATTGTCAGTGAATCCACCACCAGTTATGTGGGCGATCCCTTTCACACCTCCTTTACTAATTATGTCAAGCACCTGTCAACCAATAGTCAATTTTACATACTCTTCAAGCCAAAGTGTCTTAGCTGAAAATAATTTTGAAAAAGAAAAAGAAAAGTGATTAACGGTGGAGCATAGAGAACCTCTTTGACATAGATGACAGTTGGGGCCATTAAAGCTTCTCCCAGTGTGATGGCCTGGAGACCATTACCAGGAAGTGAATCCTTTAAAGAGAGACCACTTTGAGCCAAAACCCTGTTTAACATCATTAAGAACCTTAGAACAGTAGAAATTAAATGTGCCTGGAAGAACTGAAAATCAATTATTGCTCAGAAATCCGCAGAGCAAGAACAAATACACTACTGGAAACCAAGAGATGACTAGCTTGAAGTATAAGTTTTCAGCTAAGAAATATGCATGGTCGATGATAGGCATTAATAACAAAAGAAAAAAGCTGGTAATATAATTTACGAGAGGTGATATTTTAGAATGTGCATTTTTATTTGGGCAATAACTTACTTTCTAACAAGTGAAAACCCATTAGAATGGACTCCACTGGATGGAAGGCCAATAAGAACATCTCCGGCCACAATGGATTTCCCATCAACCACTGAGTTCTTTCCAACAATACCAACGGCAAACCCACTAAGGTCATACTCTCCTTCCACATAGAAATCCGGCATTTCTGCAGTCTGCTTGCAAAATGTTAAAATCCGATTCCTTTTATAGATAACGAAGCTAATATCAGTAATAGCATTAATATTGATAATCAAATAATATTTATTGATGTCACTACTTCAAATGCGATTTAAAATTACAAAACTACGAGTTAAATGAACATATTCTCTCACAGCAACCACAAATGGGGGAACTCCAACCCTTTACAAACTTGAACTTGATTACATTTTTCACTTCTTCATGGAAATCATTTCCACAGCCAGAAATAAACACAAGGATATCATTGCCACATGCAGTATACCTAAGTAACTGGATTTCTACCCTTTTTTATAAATTCGCTCGGCAATTAACTTTTCAGAAGCTTTAATTGCAGCAACAAGATAGTTACATAACTTCATTGTAAAAGAGGTAAAACATACCTTCATTGTAAAAGAGGTAAACCATTCAGAAAATAAGAACCCATGAAAGAGTATCAGGTCTCTGTATCATGAATATTGGCTGCTATAACAAGTCAAGCAGGTATCACAAAACGTGCACATATGCTAAAGTTCTATGACACAATAGCTTGTACTTTTACAGCAGTGCAACCAACCATAAAGCAGATCACGTATTCATGAGTTTGGCATAGCACATGCACTATCAAAACAGCCCCAATAAATCCTGCTTTAAAAGTCAGCAACGGAATAGGTAAAACCTAATTCCAAGCTGAATGTAGTCAATATATAATTACAGCTAGTTAAATAATACATATAGAAAGTAAATCAAATGCAAAAAGCATAAACAAAAAGCATTTCCAAAAGTTGGATCCATAATTGTAAAAAGACTGAATAGTTGGATTCATAAATAAGAGCATCTTGATTCTTTCTAACATAAGAAAGAATAGAAAATGGTCTAATTGGGGTGAGGACCTTAAACTTTCACTAAACCCACCCCAAGGCCGGGAAAAGGAGGTGGGTTTCGTTAAGTCAGCAGCCAGTGTAAAACTTTGCCACATCTTACCATGGATCGTGAACCTATTGGAAGAACAGGATTCATATAGCCGACCCCAAATAATTGGGATAAGGCTTGGATGATGATGATGATAACAAAGAATACGAAAAACAAGGAAAATCAGGTGAAACCTGCCACCACAACTACCACTTTTAAGAGTTAAAAAATAGACCAGTACATTATGGAGAAAAATGGACCAGCATGAGCAAATCACAATATTGCTCCATAAGGAAGTAAAGGAGAGAAAGAACCCTCTAAGAGAACAATAAATTATCATCCAAAAGATAGCCACTACGTAAATAACTGGAAGCAATGTATAAGAAAGTAAAGTTTAGTTTCATGCATCAGCAAGGAAGTACCTCTCCCCCTAAAAGCGTGCAGTCTGATTGTTGACATCCATCAACTATCCCTCTTATCACCTAAAACACAAAGACACTAAGATCTCATCCAAGAGTATTCAATAAGAATTATCTAAACAACTTTGAATATGATATAGTACCTTTTCAGCTAGATCAACATCAAGGTGACTGGTAGCAAAATAATCAAGGAAAAATAGTGGCTTTGCTCCAGAAGTCACAATGTCGTTCACACTCATTGCTACCTGACAAAGTACATACTCATACTGATGACAAGCTCAAATTTTTTATTATTCCGATAAAAGGTGTTAACACACTCAGGAAAAAAGAGAAAGTAAGAAGTCAAGAAAGAAAAAAAAAAAAAAAAAAAATAACCAGAACCAGTGTACATACCAGATCAACACCAATTGTGTCATGGATGCCAGTTTCAAAGGCAAGCTTCAGCTTTGTCCCAACACCATCGGTACCAGCCACAAGGTAGGAATCACCTGCTCATGGAAGAGAAATAATGATTCCTCATAATATTTAATCAAAACTAAGAAAATTTCCCTGTTCATCTTACAGTGGCACAAACATCACAGGGATGATATGTTTAGTGCCCCCCCCCCACCCCAACAAAAATAAAAAAAAAGACGTAAAATTCGAAGCAATAGGAGAGGGGATTAAGAAGGAAGGCTCAAGGAAAAACCACAATAGTAAAGAGCCCCATCCCATATGTATTTTTTCTGTAACTGCAACAATAAGTTTGCTTGGAATTTTGGCAAAATTACCTAAATTTTTCAAAACAAGTCGTAAATTTCAATAAATGGGATCACTAATTCACCATAACATCTCTATATGGGTGCATAACATGCAGGCACCACACAGGCTAATGGTACTAAGTTCCCAAAAAGTGAAGAAACTATTCTAATGGTACAAGTCTATTTCTTAGAAGCTTTCTTCTTTTATATGTAACTTTGAAGTTGAAATATTTTGCACACAAACCTAAATGAGAAAGGGTAGCTTAGTATGAAGGGGAATGAAAATTATGGATCATAAGGCATAAACTACCCATACAGGAGCCTTCATTACTCATAGTCATACAAAGTTTCACAACATCAACAGAAACCCCTGAATCACTGTGCTCTCCACATAAACTAAATTTTTGAAAACCAATTGATTTCTATCAAAAACAAACATTACATAAATAACACTTTCAAGGAACAAAATCAAATGCTAAAAATTCACGCAAAATCATAACCACCCAAACCATTGAGAATTGAAAATAATGATAGCATGCCTAAACCCTAAAAAAGAATAAGCACAAAACAGAATAGAAAAGAAAATTTTTTTTTTTATAAAAAGAAAAGCACACTTGTGTTGTCACCATTGAGACAATATAATATAAAGCATAACAAATCTAGATTAAAAGGAACCAAAACCATACAATCAATCAACAAACATAAAGAAGAAGGAAAATACAATCAAATGGAAAACTAAAAGAAACCCGAGAGAAAAAGGCACAACAACATCCAAGCAAGCCTTGAGGGATGCATAAGAATCCATGAAAAGCCCCGATGACCAGAAGATAAGAGACACGACAGCAAGGGAATCTAGCAACAAAAAAAAAAGAAGAAAATTAGGGCAGAAAAGAGACAAACCTAGAGGGAAAAGACCACCAAAGCCACCAATACCAGGCGCCATTTTCGCAATTCTTCGAACAAGCTCTGTACCAGCATCAATGTCTACCCCTGCATCTTTGTACGTGAGACCTTTGCTTTCACTTGCAATTACATAGAGAGAAGGAGAATTACGCACTGTTTTTTGGCCCATGGAGAGCTTTCGATGAAAGAGAGGGTTTTGAATGAAGCTTTTCTGGTTTAGCTGGGTTTTTTGCAGAGAGATGCCACTGAAGAACAAAGACTTAGCTCCAAGAGCCATGGCCAAACAAGTCCCTTTATGGTTCAGAGATGGTTTTTTGAGCTGAAGTGACCAAAATTCGTGCTAGAGTTTAGGGTTTTCGAGAGAGAAAATGCGGGGCCAAAATATGCTGCAAAACGCTCTTATGATGCCGAAACCCGAAATGAGATCAGAGATTTTTAGTCACTCTTCCAGTAGAGCAAACTATAAAAAGCGAGAAAATTAAGAGAGGCGCCAAGAGAAAACGCCCCCTTCATTTTCGAACTCGCTCTCTCCCTCTCTCGCTGTTTTTAGAATGCGGTTTGTTTAGAGTCGAGGCTCTAAACAATCAAAGTAAAGTGCACTCAAAGGTGCCCGATCGATGTGGTTTCAATATTGGAAATTTTTGTGATAGCTTTAAAATATATTTTTATTTTTAATTAAAATTTAAAGCTTAAAAAATAGTATAGATCGAATAAATCTACGAAAATTAAAAAATCTTGAAAATTGACCATCCAAAAACTTGAAATCTATTTTTTTTTCTCATGTCCATGCACCTTGATGTCGAGATAATCAATTTGAGGATATTTGAGCATCAAAACAACCTCTTCTAATAAAATTTTATAGATGGGCTCTAATTTGATTGAGACTCAACTCTATATAAACTTTTTCCTACTAGAATTGGGAGAAGGCAATGGACCAACTCATAAAAACACCGTGATTTAAAACCCGATGATTTTCAATCCGGATCTACTGTTGAAGTAAGGTGAACCTCAAAATCCTCCGGCATAGGAGAACCCTCCATTTGATCATCTCGACATTGAGATAAATGTACATGAAAAAAAAAAAATTCCGAAGTCCAATAAATAATACATCTTTTAATAAGTTATCTAGACTGTATATTTTCAATATTTTCAAGTGTTTCTTGATCTATTCAATCTGTACTTTCAAAAATTTTATAACTTAGGATGAAAAAATATTTTGAAGCCATCAAAACGTTTTCGATACTAAAACGACATCGCTAAGTAAATTTTATAGGTGTGCGGTATAAATAGGCAGCCTTATAAAAACCTCACCCTTTATTATTTGGTAAGACCCTTTTGGGCCCAAATTATTAAAATGTTTTTGATTGTTCAAACATCCTAACCCTAAACAAGGGTAATTTGAAAATATTTTATGATTTTTTTGATAAGTCAAATGAAAATAGAAGGTAGTCTTTTAAATGTTAATTAGAATCATTTAGCCCATTAATGATTATGTAAAATAAATATTTTCCCTTTTAACTTTGAAGGGACATATGCCATGAAGCATGGATCATGATTCGACTCGTTATAGCAACAATTTTTACTCATAAGCTCATCACCATCCCATGGGATGGGTTGGAGGACTACAAAGGGAGAGGAGAGAGGGCCCACCAAAACATGAATGGTGCATCCACTAATGGCCCTCGTTACCACATAGTTACCAATATCGTAAGAATCACAGTATACTTCGGTTTAAATAGAACTCAACCATCTCTCTACATTCCCCATGATAACTATACATGGGTCATACACCTTGGCGCCCTTTAGGAGGACTAAATTTGGGGTACAGGGTCTTTTTCTTTTTTTTTCCTTTAGGAATGACAAAGGGCCCAGCTTGTTCTAACGCACTATTCATCGATACGTCCCATTTGTGAACCTGCTATCAACTAAGAGCCACCTAAACCTTGTGAAATGCAAAATGTACTCTATCCCACTCAAACCCCATTTATAAATAACTCCCTTGCTCTGTGGAGTTGTCAAGCCATGCAAACAGGGCCTGAAAATCTCCATGCTCATACATCTATTCCCCGAACAATGGATTGGCTTCCCTACACTGCCTAATGTTTTTAATGCACTTAGATTGGCTTTGGTGACTTAGATTGGCTTCCCTGTTGAGGCAGTGTTCTGTATTCTCAGATGTTCATGGGAGAAACCACAGATATGCCGAACTATCTATTATAGAAAACCATACCAATCTATGTAAACCATCGGAAACATGTCAACATTATTCAAATGCTTGAAAATCCAAAATAGTCGGAGCTTGATCCATCAAAATATTATCTAATCCAGAAGAAGCTACATGTTGTTATTTTCATTTTTGCCTTCTTGGTGTGCATTCTCATCAACCAACTGTACTTGAACCCCAATCATAAGCACATCTGTGCATGCCTTTGCATGTACACACACTTTCCTTTCACTATACATGCACACATGCACACACTTGGCATAGACAAGCTCCTCCAATTGAGAGAGGGGGCATCGCTTCAGGACTCTAGTGGAGTTATAAAAGCAGATGAACCATGGGCAACAATTATGGCAGGCACTGAGACCCAAGCCTATTTACAAAAGCAAATGAATGATGATCACCAATATACACGGTAGTAAAAATGGTCTACGCAAATTCAGCATAATGACTAATAATTCTACTATTGCTGCGAATTTTCTAAGGCCACCATGGCATGATTAGAAAGAGAAGAATATCTGAAATGGCTTCCACCACCCTTAGTCAAAAAGGCCCTCTCTGTCATCCCTCATCGCTTCCTCTTCCTCTGCAGTGAAATCATTCTCAATGTTGAACGTCTTTCGAATCTCTTCAGGAGTCTTCCCCTTAATCATATTCGCCGCAGTTTGGCAAGCCAGATCCATCAAATCTGGTATATCAAGAAAATTCGCAGCCTGAATACAAATAAACAATAAATGATTTTCTACAAATAAAAGAGTAAACCACTTAATATAAATTAATTAAATATAATTGTATAGAATGTTCAGCATTAAGAAATAATCCAGGCAGAATTCCCACTTGTCCAAGGGGATTTCTTTTTTTAAATAGGGATAGTACACTATAAGACCGGCAACCTTTTGTAAAAGCCTTCAAATTAGGTGGCTTGGGGTGTGGTGCTTAAAATCTGAGGAAATTCTTCTCAGACTATGTGCATAGAAATAACACACTCCTAGCCACCCGATTTCAAATATGATGGCTAAGGATGATTCTAAAACTTCTTTTACCAAAGGCAATTGGTCTTACTGCATACAATCCCTTTAAAATATTAGAACAAACAAATTATACAGCTATGACTATGAAACAGCATCCAACTATCCAAGTTAGTCTAGATTACCTAATTGAACCATCGTTTTTGCAAAGATATATATCTCTAGAGTGAATTATCACTTGTAAAAGAACCAAAATAGTTTTATCGAGCAGGAATCACATAGCATGCCTTCTCTCTACTATTCCTGTTTTAAATCCTTCACATCGTATCATCAGGACCTTTTTTCTCTTCCGATTCGCATATCATCAATCAGATAACATCTCATTTATATATAAGAAACAACTACAGTTCACTTTCACGAATCAGACATTCAGATGGATGAGTATTTCATTCATTTTGCAAATTCCCACTGACATGCAAACTTTAACACACATTCCAGAACAATCTCAAGAAACTCATCAGAAGCTGCAATCATTGTAATATCAAAATTCGCCACAAGACTAGAGTAACTATCCTTTTATTTTTAATGGGGATCAGTAACAATGCCTTCACTAATTTTGAAAATATAGTTAACATAATGGTATTTTAACTTGCAGCCCTAAGGTCAACCGAGACAACTTGCACTGCTTGCCCACAAACTTATTAAAAAACTTGAGCCAATCAAACTCCGCTGATTTATAATGCCCGTTAGAACTGACCAAACAGAGTTTGACAATGATGACCCTAAATATTTTGGGAACTGAAAAATAATAATAATAATAATAATATAAAATACTGATAATTTTGAATAATAGTTCACTATGTTATGCATGCACCATGGGACCACCCTAAACTTTCCCTTTTCACGTTTGTTTTAATTAAGTTAAGATAATTAAATATAAAGTGATGTATCATAAGGTGTCATTATAAGAAGATGATGTGTCATTAAGTATTATTATGAGATAGTGATGTGTTAAGAAGATGATATGTCATAAAGTATTATTATAAGATAATGATGTGTCATGAGGTGGCACATATGTAAGTAAGAAAAAAGATACATGTTTGACATGTGTCAAATGAAAATTGATCCTCTTCACTTACAAATAACCCTCATAGGCCCATCATTAGCCCATCACAATTTCCCTTTCTCTCTCCTCCCATATGTAAGTCCTTATTCTCTCTCTTAATGACTTTTTCCTCTCTCCTCATGCTCTCTCTTATAACAAATAGTTTTTATGTCTCTCGTAATGATTCTCTCATAACAAATGATTTTTCTCTCTCATAATATTCTCATAAAAATATTATTATTATCATAATGCTTTCATAAAAATAATATTATTATCATAATGCTTTCATAAAAATAATATTATTCTCATAATGATCCTCTCATAACAAATGATTTTTCTCTCTTATAATATTCTAATAAAAATAATTATATAATATTTTTCTCTCTCATAAAGACCTCATAATAGGTTCTCTCTCTCATAAGGTTCTCATAAAATAATTATATATTATTTCTCTCATAAGAATATAATATTTTTCTCTCCTTAAATATGAACATTTTTTTTTTATGCTCCCTCTCCCCATACATAAACTCATTTGGTCTCTCTCTTCCCATACCTTTAGCTGAACATCAGTAATCCCGGTCTTACTCTGGTAGCGATAGCAACACATCCATCTCAGAGTGTTGTATAAGTAAGTGACCTTATTTTCCTGTAAACTAATTATTTGAAAACTGGTATTTTCGTTTTTAATAAAATTGTGATAATCGTCTATTGTTATGAATTTTAGATACCGTAAGTTCTATGTGTAAGTGACCTTATTTTCCCATAAATAAAATTATAATAGTTCTGTCTATTGTTATAAATTTTAGACACTATAAATTTTACATGTACGTAAGATTATGAAAACTAGTATTTCTGCATTTAATTAAATTGTAATATTTTCGTCTATCATTAGGAATTTTTTAAAGTTGAAAATTTAGCATTTAACTCTGGATTTCTATAAGAATTCTTCTATTGTCAATAGCCTGCTTATCATGTTAAATTTCAATTTTTAAGAATGTCTCTTAGAACTACTACCTTTTTGAAACCATATTTAAGAAATTGAGCCCAAAATATTTGACTGGTTATTTATAGAAATATTAGTGAAAGTGATTGCTATAGATTGCTTCATGTGAATTCATGTTAATGATTTCAAGAATATTTTGAATATTCAATATTATTGTTTCCTAATATTTAGTGATAAAGAGTTTCTGAGATATTTTAAAGATACAAGTGGATCTATCCAGTACACTGGTAAGGAATAAGTGGACTCATCTGGTACACCGGTGCGATATAAGTAGACCTATTCGGTACGCCGGTAGGGAATAAATAGACTCATTCAGTACGCCGGTGAGATATAAGTGGACATATCCGGTACGCCAGTAGGGAATAAATGGACTTATCCGGGATGCTGGTGAGATATAAGTGGACCTATGCAATACGTCGGTAGGGATTAAGTGGACCCATCCAAGACACTGGTGGGGTATATAAGTGAGCTACTTGGGACGTCGGTAAGGTATTTAAAAAACTTTTGAATTATATGAAATTGTGTTCTTCATATTGTTCAATATGTATTCAAATCTTTGAAATTGTGTTCTTCATATTGTTCAATATGTATCCAAATCTTTGAAATTATGTCAAAACTGTATATTTCTATTGAAGAATTCAGAATAGTTCTCCTTGTATGCTTTTCCTCATATTATTTCAATATGCCTTCTTTCAAAAAATAGCTACATTTGTCAACCATGATTATTTTTAAGGATTATGATGGTCACTTACTGAGTAGCCAAACTCATCAAATTATTGTGAATTCTTTTCAGAATAAATTGCAGCCTTATTGTTCGAAAGTACAACAGAAGTAGCTATAGAAAAGTTTGTAGTCACAGTTAAACTTACCATTGTAACTTTTGTCCTATCAAAGATGTATATATATGGACCTTCATGTTAATATAAGTTGTAATAGATTTTGTACAATTTTGAAATTTTCTGAATGGAAAATCAGACAGTCTTGTGCAATATATAAAAGAAATTTCGATTTGTTAAAGATAGACTGTCACACCTCAAGAATGTTAGTATTACACAACTTGGGATGTGACATTCATTGACCCACCAAAGTTGTCCTAAGTGCTGCTCATAGTGGAAGAATGTCCAAGCCAGCCAAATAGGAGTTACCTTCTAACTGCTAGATAAGGGGTTACCTTTGTACTACCTTGCTGAATTCAAAGATTTATGAAACTTTGCCAGGTTTGTTCGATGAGGACTAAATGCCTAATTCTCCCTCTTGTTAGCCTTGTTCTACCAGTCTCTCTTGTGCTCATTCTCATCTTCCTATCTCTCTCTATAAGCTAAACAACAGTTACCTACCCAAAAAGAGAGGTGCTTCACTAGAGTGATGGAGGGTGTGGGGTATTGGCATTTATGTGCATATATAGATCCATGCAAACATGCACACATATGCATGTATATTTTGGGTTGTTCAAACTTCAGAATGACTTGAACAAACCTATTGAGTAAGAATGTCTAGTAAGCAGTCACAGAATTTTACTTCTTTTTTAAAAAAAAATTGGAATTACTAATAGCCATTTGATTAAGGTAAAACTACGACAGTTTCTAGAATTAGAGCCAATAGCTCATAATGGACCCTCCATACCATTTCACCACTAAAGGAACTACAGAAGTTCCATCATTGATGCTCCTAGAATGGCCAGAGAGCTATTGGTAACGCCATTTACCCTTACCCACCAGCCCTCTTTCCTATGCCATCTCCACATGGAATATTTTGAGGGAAGAATTCTGTTTCAATGTCAATGTTATGTCGAAATAGTGTGCATACCTTAGGGCACTCCTTGTTACCCTTAGAGAAGATGTCAGATTCTAGGAGTGAATAATATAACCTCATTCTGTTTTGATGTCAATGTTATATGGAATAGTGTGCATACCTTGGGGCACTCCTTGTTACCCTTAGAGAAGATGTCAGATTCTAGGAGTGAACAAAATAGCCTCATTATGCAAACTATTATCTCAGGTAAAATGGTGGCTATGCTCTCTTAAGAAGCCTTCCGTAAATATGCACAGTGACACTTCAAAAATAAAAAATAATCTGGAATTATATTGCCACTTTCTGCTTTTCTCTTGATAAAACAATAACCGATCTCAATATGCCTTCGTCTGGTATAGAAGACACAGTCTCTTGATAATTTTCTGTCATTTTGATAATCATAATACGACCTGAAGTGGCCAATGAAAGGTGAGGAAGTGTCAGCCAGGATAGTTATACAGTACTAGAAATCATAGCCCCCTAATGAACCTCAGCACCAAATAGGGTACGTCTCTATTGCTTGCTACTCCAAGATACTAAGCAACCAATAAAATACACAACTCCCACTTACTGATCTTCAAGTACTAGGATTTCTGTGCTAATCCAATTTAATAAACATAAAAACTCACATCCAAATTTGACCATCTCAAATTTTAACAAATGGATCCACCATTTAGTGTTCCTTCAATATCCTTCACAATCAAATTTCGCTTATCACACATCAGATGCATAGGATTATGCATGAACTGGTGCACCCAATCAACAAATAAATCTCACTCACATACTAGATATTATTTTCTAGAAACCACCAACCATGTATCGGTGCTAGGAAATAAGGGAGTACCATGGCAAAATTGTGCTGCAGTAACAATGTGTCACAAACAGATCTTTCAACTCCAAGAAAATCCATCAGTTCACTTAAATTGTGTATCAATATCTCTTTAGGTTTTTGATATTCATTGTATAGCTTTGACATCATCCACAAAGAGATTTTTGGATAACAAAGACAATCAATTGTCAGGCTCAGCTACTCTTGTAATAGAAGCTCTGATTTTGAGAATGTTGCAGAAACCATCACAATGCCCTTTGTGCATGTTTTAGCAAAAATTACTTCTTCACCTTCAGGCATCTTCTTCATGGAAAACAGGCAGTTATTCCTTGTTCTTCCCTTAGTTTCCTCGTAAAAGGCCTTAACAGTTAATGTAATCCCCATCTTGATTATGGAGCAAAAGGTTTCTCAGTAGTGCATTCTATGCAACTGAATGCGGATATTAGCAACTATTCTGGCCTTGAAATGATAATCCCCATTTGACAGGCATTTTACATTGTGCACCCACCTGAGACTCTTAATGTCCAAGTGAAAGTATAATCAACATCATCAATTGGAATAGCCACCACTTTGCCATCACGTGCAAGACACGAAATCGTCATGGTCTCTATCATAGGAGAGCCCCAACTGGTAAAAAAATTGTGGAAGGTAAAGGAGACTCCCATAGCTTAAAACTACCTTTAAGGCTCAAGTAACAGGCTAGAGGCTCTATAGAAACCAGTCTCAGGAAGGTGATGGAATACAAGGAGCATGGCAGCAACAGACAATGCGGCAATGATTGTAGCCAATCATACAACTCTTCAGCTTTATGGGATACCTTGTAGCATTGACAGCTATCAGTATGAACATTTTAGCCAGTGTTTCAAAACTCGCTAGTCAGACTCAAACTCGAGCGAGTCATTCAGACCAGGCAGGATGCCAGCCCGGGTCCTTGTGAAAGACTTACGGAACCAGCTGAGTCTTACCAGGTTCCCAAGGTTTCTGCATTATTGTTTTGAAACTTGACCAAGTTTGACTTGGACCCAGGCCCCACCAGATTTGAGGGCTGACTCCAGTTTAAAACACTGACTCAACAAGTGGGAGGAATTAGGAATCAAGCCAATCACTCTGATACTACAACAAACATTAAGTGAGAGCCAATTAATAACATGAACAGCTGTGTCAAAGGTCCAACTCATAAGCAGCTAGGATCTCAACTGTGAAACATCATAAAAAGTGTGGACCATGTTTGTGATTCTCTGGTTGTGCTTAGAAAGTAGAACTCCATTTGATGCCTCTTTAGCATAAAGTATAAGGACAAAGAATTTGTTCTATGATACCATCCTCAAAAAAAAAAAACAGACAACAATAACAAGGAAAACTCACTACCAGTATCTCTGCAGAACATTTTAACTTGGTGGTTCTAGATTACTCAGAAAACATCTTAAGTTGTTTAAAAATTGGAAACACATCTGCTTTATGCTTAAGAAAATAAATCCACATGAAAGGAGTGTGCACATAGTAATAGGAGACATTCTGCAGAGAGGCAAATGCTAGATTCTATACATCATCTTGCAAAAGCTCAATAGGACAAATGTTAGTTCCCTTAATAGACATAAAAGAGCTCATGGACAACTTCGGAACTGGGATTGAGATAAAAATAAAAAATAAATAGGATAAAAAGCATAGATCATAAAACATATAAACAGTAGAATAGTTGGTATGGCAAACTAAGCAATAGGCTCTATCTTCCAAGTTAAGACAAAGCATGCAATAGGATTAGGCTCTGTCATTCCTGAGTATGTGGAGATTCCGACACCAGAGTCCTTAACTATGACTTCCTAGGAAGCTTCATCGCCACAAGAAACAGTTGAGTGAATTCCAAGTAGCACATAAAACGGCAGAATTGATATTCCTCATAACTTTGCAAATCAGAAACATGTTGGGAGTAAATGCAAGTCATAAGATATGTAATTAATTTTTGTCATTATACGAAAGACTACTAAGAAATTTTATCTTGATTAGCAGTGACATGATTGAATCTAACAACAAAGAAATGTATCCAATGAATTCCATCAGCAATAGATGATTCAATTACAAATCAAATCGAAAAAACTTTCTAATAAAAGAATAGTGGCAGAATTCCTTAAATTGCATTAAAGTAGATACATAAATAGATAGATGGATAGATAGATAAAGAGAACTGGGCCATGCCGACGAGTTGATTCTAGATATTCAGCTGTCAAGTTCCACAGTCAGGAATGGGAAATAGTAGTTCTCTTTCCATCAATAGGCAGTTTCTTTGACAAAATTTAGTAGTGGGGGAAAAAAGAGAATGGAGAGGAGGATGAGGAAGGAACCATGAGAACATGAACGAAAGAAAATCAATAACAACTATCCCTTAACAATCAATATACTGTTAATTCACTATTTTACCACATCAAGATACTTCACCTTCATGAAATCAACATTCATCATTAGACATCAAAGAAGCATCTCACGCTTACAACAAGCTCTTCTATACCGAATTACACCCTTTTTTATCCACATAGAGATGTAATCAAATACCCTCCATGCCATCAAAAACAGAAACCCTCTTTCAAATCAATCAATCAATTGTAAAATAAACAGGTAATTATGGATTAATATACCGAACTTAAAGAAAAACCCCTGCTCACAAGCATCAAGTAAGACAGATCACTTGCTTTCATCTTCATATTTGGCATCACAAAATCAACAAACACGATAAAGAGAACTCAATAAAAAGAATAGCAAGAAAGAAACAATATGGCACAATTCAAGTAAACAGGAAATAATAAGCAAACTTGGAACTGTGAAATCCAATAACAAAAAAGGAAAGAGAATTTACCACAATGAGATCATAAAGTGTATCAGTATCAACATTGACAAATTTTGAATCCCAAACATTGATCGCCTTCAAAGCCCTCTGAGCCCTGCTCTTTTGAAGCTTCTTGGCCCTATCCACTGCAAATTTCTGGCGCATCTCCTCTTTATCAATCTGTACCTTCCTTTTCTTCCGTGTTCCTTCCATTTCAGCCATTTCATCAGAAAACTTCTCCAACTTCTTTTCAGAAGCGTCCATGGTCAAGGACCTGAGTTTCATTTTAGATTCAACGTGAAATTTACAATAATCGATGATCATGGCAAGGATTTTGCTTGAAATCTTGGGGAGAGGGATCCCAAACTCCGTAATCCCTTCCTCGATGATGCCCTTGATCATCCGTGATTCCATAGCCACGCACTCATCGACCTCGAAGGCCTTGGCTTCTGAGCTCCTCAGGATCACCTTCTTTTCCTCATTCATGTTTCTGCAACATGAACAACGAAAAAACCCGATGCTAGATTTGAAACCCTAGCCTTCGAGCTTCTCACTATCTAATGTTTAAATTGAAACCCTAGCCTCTCTCTCTCTGTCTCTCTCTAGAGAGAGAGAGAGTGGTTGCCCCAAGTTTTGAAGATAAATTCCCTCCAGATTTGGGCATGGAGAAGATGAGGTTAGGGCTGGTTAATTCAATGGGTTGGGCCACTACGTCATTAAGGGAGCCTTAGGTTACTGATTTTGTATGCTTCATAGGTCTGGTGTAGAGAGTCCTCCCGCGGGAGCATACTGTATACTACTTCAGGCTCCAAAGGCACTTTTATTAGCCAACTGTCCAAGAATCGATAATGCCATAAGTATGCTTTAAAGGCGTCTCTATAGAGGTTTCTGTTTTATAGTGTATTGAGGCCCCTCTCCTTTCTTACATGCCCGATGTGGGACTAACATGCGTCACGTTTTCAAGCTTGTGTAGATAAAGTAAGGATATTTTTTTGGACACGGTTTCTGCCCATGTAGAAATGAGTCGACCCTTAATCTTATTTTTGAGATGGATTTTCAGACCTAATTTTTAAGGACATGTAATCTCTGATATGGAGATCTTGAATGTGCTGTGTAAGACTAGCCGTCCGAACAAAATAAATTTTAAGAAATAAAAATAATAATTTTATGAAAAAATACATTTGAACCGTTAGTTTCAATTATTTTTAGATGGACCACTTATTTGCATCCATCTTTAAGATAAATGCTTTATACTTTGGGACAGCATATTGTAGATAAATATTTAGAGCCATGGATGCAATGAATAAAAGGCTAGAGAGCTTTTGCTCCTCTATCTCCATACCTTAAACACAATTATGTTTCCAACTTATAAGATCAATAAAATTCCTGAAGGGTGGACATGTTCGAATTTTACTAACTATTCTTTATTCATAAGTCAATAAAAGCAAAAGTCCTCGAGTAAATTTATGGTGGATTTTGCAATAATTATGGATTCGTTGTTAGATCATTTAACTCATGATTTGGCACAAGTGCTCTGTTCTAGGGTTTTACGGTAATAAGTTGTAAACCTTTTATTTCTTACTTATTAATGAAAAACGAGTAGGGGGCTTTCTCCCCCACTGCTTACCCAAAAACAAAAAACGTTTATATAAGGTTGCAACCTTAAAATATAGAATCACATATGCACCTCAAAAATCTATCGGAAATATTGTTTTAATGTTGAAAAAGCCCTCTAATCAATCATCTCAACATCGAGATCTATAAATATGAAAAAAAAACAAAAATAGTGCATCTTGTAACACATTATCTAGAACGTCCATTTTCAAGATTTTCATATATTTATAGATCTACTTGATTTTTACCATTTTTGAAATTTAAAATTTTCTAATTAGGTATGAAAATAGATTTTAAGATAATACTAAGAATTTTTTATAACAAAATTACATGTTATGATAAAAGTTTAATTGAATTGTTTAAGGTTGCAACCTTATAGAAACCTCACCCTTTAACTTATGCATGACCCATTTGAAATTGCTTTGTATTAGACTAACATATGGCTATTTCTTATCAGAAACCCAAGTCAGGTATCAGAGAAATCAGAAATTTGGTTTAGAACTCTTGTCCTTGAAATCCCCTTTGGTTCAATCACCATAGGTATTTCGATATCAAGAACAATTCTCGTTGTTTTAAATTTTTTATTGTTTAGGAAGTGTTCCTCATCATTTTTCCTCTCTGTAAATGGTTTTATTTCCTATAGAGTTGCTTGTGCTTAAATGAAAACCCAAAATAAGCTTATCACCTTTTATTTTGGTATTATGATATATTTTAGTGGTTGTATGCTCAAATTTAGACCATGTATATATATTCATGGTGATTGTAACCTCTTTTTTTTTTTACAGTGATGTGAATGTAATGGTCATGCTGATTGTAACCTCTGTTTTTTTTATATGTATAATGGTCAATAGACATCCAAATGTAATAGACGACATTGCAATATTAACATATTTATACAACATTACATTATTCACATATTTTTGTAATATAATAGAAGTACATAATGTAGCAGCCCCAATTTTTAAAAATTTTAAAAAAATTAAACTCAAAAAACTATTTTTAAAGATTTTCAGTAATTTTTGAAAATTTTAGAACTGATCTTAATGATTTTTTTCCACAAATAAAGGCATGTGACTCCAATAGCTCTCTCACTCCCTCTAATCCATAAGAGATAAAAAATAATGAATTTGAATTAGGAACCATTAGAAATCAAAATTATACATTTGAAATAAGATTCATGAGAGATCTAAATAACACATTTGAATTAGGATTGGTAAGGGTGCGCCAGGCCCGTGCAATAGTGCAACGCATGGGCGACGCTCAAGGGACCCACAAGCAAGCATATCATGTGACCCACTGAGACTAAAGACTAGAGAGACTGCTGAGGATATGGGCCAACATACAATAAGTAAAGAGAAGATATAGAGCCTACTTTCAAATAGCATTAAGAAATGTGGTTTTACTACTAGAAATCTGATAGCCTTAAAATATATTTTCATATTTATTTATAAAGTTTAAAGCTTTAAAAATAATATCGATCGGTAGATCTATGAAAACTTGAAAATTGACAATCCAAAATGCGTTACAAAATAGACAATTTCCAAAACTTGAAATCCATTTTTTTTCTCATGTCCATTCATCTTGATGTCGAGATGATCAATTTCAAGATATATGAGCATCAAAACAACCTCTTATAGTGAAATTTTTGAGGTAGGCTCATATTTGATTGTTTAGAGCCTCGGCTCTTTATAAACTTTTCCCAATACCAAAAGCCTTTGTTCATCTTTTTCCTATCTCTCAAAGTGCTCCTCATTCTTTCTCTCCCCTTCCCAAATGCTCTCTGTCCCCTTTCTATTCACCCCTCTTTCTTTCTTTTTTCTTTTTTTTTCTTTTTTTCAAATATTTAGTTTTTTTTTTTTCAAATATTTAATTTTTTTTTTTAATTTTTGTTTTCAACATGTATACTTCTCGGCCGAGCCCACTCGAACTCATCTGAGTAACGTGGCTTGGGCCAGGGCCAAGTCTGCCAACCCGAGTTACTGAACATTGAGCACAACTTGTTTCACGGTAGTGCACTCCACAAATGACCTGCTGGTTTTCTTGAAGGGAAGAAGAAAAGTAGGAAAGAAGTAACGATCCGAGCTTAACTTCTCTGTTTTTCTGAGGAAAGTGAGCAACTCGCCTACTGTCAAAACCAGGGCTTACGCTTTTTCCTCTCAACATGTGCAGGGTTTTTGTCTAACATTCTTGTAATACAATGATCATTGGGCTTTGCGACTAAGGTGAAATTGAGGAAGCTCTGAACTTACTTTCCCTGATGCAAGCTTGTAATGTCCGACCCACAATCGTCACATATAATGCTCTTATTTATGGCTTTTGAAACTGATTTGCTTGATAGAAGCCGAGAAATTACCAGATAAGATTGTAGAGAAATGTTTGGCTTCTAGCGTTGTAAGATAAAAGTTCTTGAATTGATGGGTAATGTAAGTTGGGATAAATGGAAGAAGCTCAATTTGTCAAAGAGATCTGTGCTTTGATGTTTCAAATGTATAATTCTTGCTGGATTTTCCTGCGTTTCCTCAACTTGTTGCAGAGTTGTTACTAGATTGAATTGTTCAATTCTCTAACACATTTTCTTAATTCAGTCTAATGTTCATATCCATTTTTTTTTGCTGTCTTTTATAGCGAAATTAAGATTATGGGAAATATTTAATGGAGGATATTGAGTTAGGCTATTTTCACATAAAAAAAGAGTAAGGCTGCTATCATTATAGTTTTTACCTCAGATTGTCTTGAACTTGATCCATATTGAGAAGGATGTGTGTTACTGATTAATGAATCTAGTTATTTTGAGTCAACGACTCACTAAAATTTGTGAGTCTCCTTATGCATCAGATGTCCATCTCTAAGATGGATGTCAAAAAAAATACCTCCACTAAAAGCTAAAATAGATGCAGAGAAAAAAAGAAAAACAAATTTTATCTTTATCTTTCAAATAAGAAAAATTCAAGATCTACGATCATCATAGTCACCATAAAATTTTGAAGGGGGGGACGCATATCAATACGCGAGTCTGCTGGCTCACCAAATACTTTTCCTTCATTAATTGGATTACTATTTCTATACGGTTTCTATGAGTCCATCTTGAAATGAGTCACCTCTTAAAAATCTATTTTTGAGATTGATTTTTTGACCTAATTTTTATACATGTAATCTCTAACATGGAGATCATGAATATGAAAAAATAATTAAATTTTGAAAATTAAAATAATAATTTTATTAAGAAAACAATTGGACTGTGAGTTTCAATTGTTTTTAGATAGACCACATATTTGCATCCATTTTTTAAGATGGATGCTTTATACCTTGGGACCGCATATTGTAGAAATGCAGTCCAGCCCCGTATGAAATAATTTTCCTTACTATTTTATGATTTAGAATGTGTATTTTATAAGAAATATTATGGATGTTCGAACCATCGGACCACATGATTTTTGTAAAAAGTTCAACAGAATGTGGTCCGACGGTTTGAACATTGGACTGCTTGATTTACCTGAAAATTTCAACATAAGGTGGTCCGATGTTCAAACCATTGGACCGCTTGATTTGCTTGAAAATTTCAAATGGTTTGATCATCAGACCTCTTGATTCACATAAAAATTTCAACAGAAGGCGGTTCGATGTTCGAACCATCGGGCCACTTGATTTACATGAAAAGTTTAACAGAATGTGGTCCGATGGTTTGAACATCAGGCTGTTTGATTTACATAAAAAATAGTAACAGGAAGCACTCCAATGTTTGAATCATTAGGCCGCTTGCTTTACATAAAAAATGAAAACATCAGTTTTCAAAAAAAAAAGAAAAGAAGAAGTATGTCAGGTAGAACATAAAGTTTGCAATAACCATTTCACAAGATAGTGAATATGCGACAACATATAAAAATTATAGTGCAGATAAATCTAGTGAGCCACTGGTCAATATTACAATTTGCAACAAATCCATACATAGGGTACCCAAATGTTGATAAACGTAAAAAACATCACAACATTGATTCAATGTCTTCATAAAAAATGTGCATCCAAATACTAGAAGCAAAATTAAATATAAAAAATTGTAGCATTACTCAATTCTCATAATACATATGAAACATAGAGATATTGATTCAATAAAACATAAAATGGGCATCTAGATATAAGGATCAATATGAAAGATATGAAATTGCAGTTACTTATAATTAATACACTCTACTAGCAATAAATGTAGAAATTTCATATTAAATAAAAAGATTAAACAAACACAAATAGGAAATTGATACATGACGTTTAAATTCATTTTGTGTACCTCAAAAATTTGTTTCACCCAACTTCATTGTTTATACGACGTACAAATACGAAACCCTGTTAAAAAAACTCCAGAAATTTAGGGCATATGAAAAAGCGAAGTTGAAATGGATAAGAGGGTAAGAGAGAGTGAATTGAGAGATGCTGGCAGAGAGAGATAAAAAGCGAGAAGGAAGATAGAGTGAGAGTAGAGAGAGAGAGTGCTAGGATAGACGAGGGGTTAAAATTTTTGCGCTTAACGCTATTTAAGCCTTATTACTTTAAAAACGAAAAAAAAAAAAATTAACTGTCCGATTTTGAAAAAATCATATCGATTTGAAATGCTACCAAGAGGTACAAGGATTCAAAAATCGGATTGAGGGCAAATTTGATAAAAAATAAAAATTTCGAGGTAAACAATATGAGGTTTCAAAAATCTAACCAGAGAAAACTTGACAAAATATATAAAAAAAATTCGGGATTCTTGTCCTTCAAGGTAATAATGGCCTATTTTCGGGTCATTTCATTGTGACGGTATTAAAAACCGGTCCATACATAAATTTCCTTTTCTTTTTTCCTGTTTTTTTTTTATTCCCAATTTGATGATTTAAACACCGAATCGCTTATTTTTTTGACATTTGTTGGTACTCTCTAATGCGTAAATTATTGAACCTCCCCATTTATGAGGAGGTTTGATAACTGCAACATTCTATCACCCTATATTTTTGACCCATCCTTCGTTACGGGGCAGTCCAATATTACAAATATCTCACCAGTCTTTTTTATAGTATTTTATATTTTAGCACTTCGAGCTTTCAAACATCATAACGTATATACTTAGAAAAAAAACAAAAGTAGTCCAAAAACAGTCCGATGTTCGAAAGCTTGAACCACTGAAATGTATAAAAGCTATGTAGCACATTGACAACATTAGGCAAATGTAGGGCAGTCTACTATTGCAATTATCTTCCCGCCCTTTAAATATGCTGATTTGAACATTGGATGGCCCCAAAAATGTCAAAAAAAAATTAAAAATAATAATAATGAAACATCGAGCAAAAATGAAAAAATAATAAAAATGAGAAGAGTAGGACTTTGCAGTAAAATTGAATAAACTTATGGATTAAACGGGGTAAATATGATATTTTTACCCGGTCTATATGTAAAAATCTTTTTTTTAAAATTTATTTATTTGAGTTAAGCTAAGACTGAGCCCTTTTCTTTCTCTGCTTCGAGTTAGGCTAAGTCTACTGATTCGACTCAGACCAGTGGGTGACCAATTGAGCCTCCTTTTGTACGGCCAAGTCGGCTGATTCAGTTCGGACTCGTGCATGACCAATTTGAGCCTGGTGCATCTCCATATGAATAAACAACTACACCATCATAGGCCGCCCTCACATAGGAATGAATATACTGAACCCTTCAATCATAAACCTATCATAAGAAAAAACTAAACCGTTCGTGTTTGGGAAAACTGATCCGTTGGATGGATTGGGCCCCCTTGAAAATCGATCGAGATCAGCTAGGACAATCGAATTGGAACAGTTAATTGGACATAGGTTGGAAGCGGTTCAATCGGCCTAACCGGTAAACCGGTCTAACCATGCAAGTCTCGAGAGATCAAAAAAGTGTTAAAAAAATATAAAAATAAATTTAATAAAATATATTTAAAGCATGATTAAACAAAGCATCCAAATGAAGTTGAAAATTAATTAAAAATAGACTAAAAAATCAATTTGTACCCGGGAGTATTTTGAAATTTTTCAAAAAAAGATAAAAAAAATGTAAAAATAAGTATTCATGGCCAAAACAATTTTCAATCTTTGCCAAATGAAAAATATTAAAAAATACATTACAAACAAAAACCTTTATTTTTTGAGATTTTATATGAACTTTTTAATTTTTTTTTAAAATACCTTGCCTATTTAACCGAGCTAACTAGGTGGTCAAAATTTGAACCACCTGATTTTTACTATACTGGGATAAGTGGATAGGTTGTCTGAATCAGTGACCTAATTGAATGAATTGACAAAAGAAAATAAAAAATAGAGAAACAATAATTTAAAAAATAAAAGTGGGACCAAATTGGGTGAATTCTTAACAAAACCAAACAGTGGGGCCGGATCCAAATATATTGTGGGAATGTCCCACCAATTCCCAATCCAAATTGAAATGCTGAATGGGATCCGGATTATCGTTATTTCAAAACACAAGGAATAAAAACACTGCCATTCTTAACTTGGTCTATCCAAGTGCAAATAAATTAATATACCATGTAGCTAATGGTGGCAATGGGCCATGCCTAGGACGGCCCAAACCCTGGGCCCGGCTTGAATAGAAACAAATGAAAAAATAAATAAATGAAAAAACAAGGAAAAAGAGGCCGGCCACCACTGGCTCTAGCCTAGCCACGTAGGCCCTACTGTTTTAGTCAGGTTGACCGAGCAGGGCTGGCCACACGCCCTACGGCGAGACCTACATGTGGCAAGGTTTTAAAATCAAGTTCGGTGGCCCATATTAAGCATCTAGATTTTCGATCCGATTCAACAGATCTGCAATTTAGATAAGCAATCCAATTTTCCAAACCAGTCACAAAAGGCCAGACTGTCTATGCTTCCCCTATAGCATAAAACTCGTATGTTTCCTTTATCCATCCGTCTTATTCTAAATGGAGGGGCTAAGAATGTCCCAATCACAATGCCACATCTTTATACTATTTTATTTTTTATTTATAAACTATATTGATAATAAATTTACACCAAATTTTGTACGTCCAATCTTTTATTAAACTCGTACCAATGAAAAATATAAAAAAAATATTTCTAATAAAATAAAATTATTAAAATTTGATCATTATATTTTATCGAAAATTAATTTTAATATTTTTTATAGATACGTCCCGTGAGAAAAACTCAATAAGAAGATGATATATACCAGATTTCATATTCATACAACTTATACAAAAAAACTAAAAATAAAATATTTGAAAATGTCATATTCAAACAATTTATATAAAAAAACTAAAAATAAAATACTTGAAAATGTCATATTCACACAATTAATATAAAAACACTAAAAAAAGAATAAATGCCGGATTTAAGATCGGTGAGTGGCGGCGGCTATTTAAATGAGTAAAAGTAGGGACCAAAAGATTTTCAAAAACATCCCGGGCCAAAAACTTTTCGAAAAAAGCGGGATTGGGGCGTGCTCTAATGTTCACTAACCCACAGATATTCCAAACATCTAACGAGATTCACACAGCCCTAGACCGCTCGGCTCTTGACCATCCTTTGTACGGTCATATGAGAATAAACAAAACCTCGGTCACAAATTTGAATTTGAATTTATAGGGGTGCGCCAGGCCCATGCCGCAGTGCTACGCACGGTCGACGCTCAAGGGACCCACTAGCAAGCTAGCGAGGTGGTCCCTCCCCCACTAAAAAATTAATTTAATATCATGTGGCCCGATGGGCCACGTATCAGATATTAAACTGATAAGAACAGATACTACACTTGATCTTAGCCAAAAGGCCGAGAAAGGTATGCCATTCCATGTCAGCCCGACAGCATTTTATAGTGATCCTTTCGCAATAACCCCATCTCTCTGGACGATGTGGGACTAAAACGGAAAGAAAAACAATATTAAGTGTTTGGGTTTTTCCCTTGATCAAAAGAAAGCTGATTGTATTATTTGTATCTTACAACCGCGTCTATGGAATTAAGGCCCAACTTTCTCTCTCTACCACTCTTTACTGGCATGACAGTCTCTCTCTCCGGTGTACATTAAGTAGTATACGAAAAATGCCAGGATTTCTCTCTAACGAGCATAACAGGCTTCCCCCTCTCTCTCCTCTTTTGAACAGTTCTCTCTCTCTCTCTCCTGTCTTGCTTTTGTTGGAGTCTTTTCATGCTCAGACATTCTCTCTCTCCAGTGATTTTGCTAAATCTCTCTCTCTCTCTCTACCCCCATGCCAGATGTTTCAGCCCTCTCTTTCTAGAGGTTGATGCCATGTCCCTGGATTACAAGCGTCTCTCCCCTCTCTCTCTCTCTTTATCTCTCTTTCTCTCTCTATGATTAATTTTTCTCGAGTTTGCTAGAAATTGGATAAGCACTATAAATAATCGCACTGGGTCGTTGGGTTTTCGTTCTCATGCGTGAGACAAGTGCAGTGTAAACATTCTCGACAAGACATAAATTCCTCTTAGTTTTTCCCTGTTTCTTTTGAAAATGCATGTTGATATTGAACATTTTCCAGGTCAAGATTGAGTAATGGAAGCAGGGGATAAGGATGATAGTGAAAAAATTGAGGATTTTAAAGGGGATTTGGTTAACCATGCAGCTTTAATAAAGAGCAAAGCCTTGTTTCTTAAGAAGCTTGAAGAGTTCCATAAATCTTCTTCGACGAAGCTAATGTGAGTGTTAATCCCCTGTTTCAGTTGAGTTTTTTAGTCTACCCTGTTTCAGTTGAGTTTTTTAGTCTATTTCCTATTTTATACTGAATTTTACTTTGAAATTCCCTACTTCGATTTACATAGAGATAAGCTTTGAGCAAATTCATTAATTGCTTTTTTATCTTCTCCTCTTTATGCTTTGAGCATCTGTTGAATTCCAGCGCATGCTTTGGCTTAGAAACCACATTTTCCCTATTTTATTCTTTTTTATTTAACTTTAGCTTCTTTCTATAGAGAGAGAAAACATATGCTTGCCATTAATAACACTTCTAAAGTGAATCAAATTTTCATATGTAATGTGCTTTGTAGGTGAACTAATTGCTCTTTAATTTGAGGAAAATGGTTCATTCTTTTGACTTGTGATGAGAAAAGCTATTTACTGTTTATGCTTTGACAGGATCGATATCGGAGGGACCATATTGGACTTGCACGTGTTTTACAAAGAAGTAACGGCAAGAGGAGGGCTTGTTCAGGTTCATATTGTATCCTTTCTCTACCAATTTGATTTTTGTGTGCATTCTTTTGCCTTTAGCATAGGTGAATATAGGCATTAATATTTCTTAAAGTTCCACTGTGGATGCTCATAGTTGGAATTTTGCTTGAAATTTCAATGATTCTTCTCACTTGGTAAACTTCTATAAGCTGGAGCTCTTTTCTGCATGTATGGGGCTTAATCATAGTCTTTCTTGCCACTTTTGTGTGCATGAATGCATATGATACAAAACATATACAAGGAAATGTTATGTATACATTTCTTTTGTTTTATGATTACTAATCCATTTTCATTCTGATAAATAGTATCATCATATGCTATTTATTTGATTTGAGACTATGGTTTTCTAGTTTTCAACTTCTCTTTCGTTTATGTGCTGTAAACATATCTTAATAGAACCCTGACATTCAGCATGCTTATGCAAGAGTACTATCAGGGCTAAATACCCTAAGGCCAATAAAAGGGAAGAAATTTGTTTTATCCATCTTCCGGTGACTCGCCCGAGCCCACTCGGACTCCGTCGAGTTATTTGGACTTGCCCTTCTTTCACTATGAGGTTACCCAGCCTTGTACTGCCCTGCACAAGCACCCTTGACTTGGACTTTTCATGGGATCCAATAAATGGAGCTCTTATTGAGCAACATCTAATAAGGAAATGGATATTTCCATTATTTTCTACCATAAGAGACCCATATCTTTGCAACTTCCAAATAATGTGAGGAAGGCCTAAAGTGTGATTTTTTAGAATATTTGTCAATATGAGTGCACCAGTTGGTTCCATGATTGTTTCTTTTGATTTTTTTTAACGATAGTTTGGTAAAAATGAAACAGATTTGAATAAATAAGCATACAAGTACAGCTAAGATTAGATGATTTTTGCACATTTCTTTTATTGATAAATACATGATTGTCGCATAATATGAATAATACCTCTGTGGAATAGAAATGTTAAAGTTGATGGTTTTGTGGATCTTGGATCTTAGTATATTAATAATTGGTTAATTAAATTCAAACAAATGTGTTTGAACTGAAAAGCTGGATTTACTACAGAGAAGCTCAACATGTGCTCTTGGCCTCTTGCAGCCAATGAATATTCTTCATTTCCATGATAGAGCCAATGAGCTCGCTACCTGATTATGGTTAACTTTGGTTCCTTTATTTTGTTTTGGCTTTGAGCAGTGGCGTTTGGAATCCACCTTTTAAGTTGTTTGTATAATGGACTTTGATTAATAGAGTATGACTAGTTATTTACAGGTAATGCATGAAATTGTTGGAGGAATTTAGTAATTGATGAAGAAGATATTGAGCAAAGTCACATTCTCATGAGAACAAGCCTCCTAGAGACTTTAAGGATTGGAAAATAAGCAATCACCTTTGGAACTATGAATTATTGCAACTTGTCAAAGCATGTGTAGCTTCTAATCCTCTATGCTTGATAGCGTCATGTATTGCACCTTTTTGTGTTTGTTTTAATGATGGTTACCTGGGACTATTTAGCGCATTATTTACCTCTTGGAAATGACATATTGATATTTTTAAGGAGAATTTAGTGAGATATAATTCTTTTCTAAACTTTCAGGTCATCAGAGATGGAAAATGGACTGATGTTGCATCAATGTTGGGACTAGCAGAAAAGATTCCTAACCCCTCTTTTCCTCTGCGGAAGCATTATGTGGACCTTCTCTATCATTTTGAAAGGGTATACTACTCTGGAACGCAAGGGGAGGTTGCAGAACCACCTGGTAAGAAGACTTTTCTGATGAATTTGGTTTTGGAAACCCAAAAATGCCAGTGGTCAAGGATCACTACCGACATGCACTGTTTATGTAAATTACAGAATTACTGCTTGTTGGTAAAGAAAGATGGCATTACTCTCAGGGTATGTGATAAATGATGGAACATGTAAACTATCAGATTTGTATTCTAATGATGATAATAGGTTACCCATCTCAGATAAGTGTTGGATGTGCCTTACTACTGGGGATGGAGTTGAGAGAGTTATTCAAGAAGTTAGTTATCCTTGTACAATTGCAAGAACGCTTGACTTCATCTTTCTGATGCAATGAAGTGGGCTTAGTCATGGATACAATTTGCCTGAAGATCGAGATAGCTTCTTTTGGGGAGAGAGAGAGAGAGAAAGAGAGCCCCTCTGGGGGTGTTGGGGAAGGGGAGGGGTTTGTATACTACAAAACTTCCCTGATTATGTACTGAGAATGCTTTGAATTTTTTAAACAATGATGCAGGACGTTTTCTCCATCATAGTCCTGACAGGAAAACAGATGTGTATCAACTCTTCGAGGATGAGCAGAAATCAACTGTGAAAGGGAACTATCAAAACTATACAGGTCAAATAATGTTAATTCATTTATCGAGTGCATAATACCCTGTTAAGTACACGCTGCATTTTTTAAAATAAACGTGGAAAGGGCCTTGCAAAAAAATTTGGCATAGTTTGGTCTGTTTTGATTATATGATCAGTTTCTTAGTTATTTTCCTGATCTTTATATTTTTAGGTTTTTTCTATTAATTTATGCAGATCTCTGTGTAATCACCTCCTCCCATATTGCTTTGTTTTTAACTTCCTAAGTTTATTGCTTATTTCAAAACTTGATTTTGCTGGGCTGCTGCATAGGATACAGACACTCTCACCCTCATGCATCGATTTGGACTACAACCCATCTTTCATTTTGTTTCAATTTCTTGGATCTGTTTTCTTCATTTGAATTCATTAAGTAATGAATTTATCTCTTCTTCCTTGTGTATATTCAGAAGATCCCAGTACCTTTATAGGGAAAACAGTAACAGGGGAGATCAAAATGAGAACTGAAGATGGTTACATTGTGACCATGACTGTTGGCTTAGAAAAGCTCAATGGGTTTCTGTATTTTTTCCGTGAGAGTGGAGGTGAACAGATGGCCATCATCCCTGGTCTAATGGGTGGCGTAAATTCTCTTTCCAGTTCCAAGCCCATAGAAGTCACTGTAAAACCTCATACCAATCAAAGGGCAAGTTCTGGAGTGAAGAGAGAGACTGTTAAGAAAGACCCAAATGCTCCTAAAGGTGCAAGAACTTGCTTCCAAATATTCTATGGAGAGGAGTGTGCTCGATTGAAAGAGACGCAGGTACCAGTCGGGAATACGCGGAGAATGGTTGCTGATGCGTGGAATTCTCTCTCTGAACATGAACGGCAGGTACATACCTTTCCTCTGTTGCATGAAATCCTCACTGGAAAAGGAAAATAACTGATGGTGTTTGCCTTTCTGGAGTAATGTGCACCACATGCTACATTGGATTATCATATTCTTTCCTGTGATAGCAATCGGGGGTTTTATTTTGTTATAATAGAAAACATTTGAAAAAATCAATTTCAACTGACAGAGCAGCTGTCCCTAATGATGAATGGCATGTTTCATTCAGCTAGACTGCTGTTATGTTTTAAGAGACTAGAATGGGATACCAGCTTCATTTTCTTTCTTTCTTGATAGTTATGCTGCAAACCTTTCATTATTGAGAATGAGAGGAGGAATTCAAGAGAAAATTTATGATCTGGACATCCTGATAAGATGGTTGCCAAAACTAGGAGACCAGATTGTTCCTGTCTTCCAAGGTCTTCATAAACATATGAAGACTATTCAAAGCAATAATACATATAGAAAGCCATAGTCGTGCTACTATTTTCATTTCCTTTTATCTGAAATCCTCTGGTTCCTCATCTCAGCCATATCACGAAAAGAGCGGGCACGACCGAGAGAGGTATAAACAAGAAATGGCAGCGTACATGGAACTTCAGAAATCACAAGCCAAAAGCTCTGTTCTCATTGAGGGGCAGCAAAAAGAAGATGATGAAGTGTATATCCCATGCTACGATTGCCCAATTCAAGAGAGTAAGGATGGCGACCGCCATGTTTCTGTTGAAACTCAGGGCCACACAAACGACCGAGCCAACCCTCACCATATGGTTGATGAAGCTGAGCTACTCAATGACCGGAATCGATACCCGGAGATCCCAGAAAATGGGTTCGAGAGCATGTTGTTCGATGATAATATTTTGATCTGATTCATGGGTGTCTTCTCAAGAGCTGATGGTCAATTTTTTGAAGAAGAACAACTTGGGTTGAAGGGGAAGGTTCTGACCCCATGGATTTCTTATGAATTTTCAATTTTGAAAAAACGCAGAGCATGGGTTTTTGAAGGGTTCTTTGGGTTGCAATCTGAAAGTGTTTATTGTATAGAATTGTGTACAAAGTCGTTTTGGGCATTATGTGTTGCACACGTAGGGTGTGATGGAGACGGTTTATCTTTTTGCTCAAATGGGAAAAAGTAGAACAAGGCTTATCCATGAAGCTTGATGAGCGTATTGTCTTTTTTTTCAAATGGGAAACTAGGAAATATTTTTTTGCATTTTTCTGCAATATTATTACGCATTGCACATACTTTGCAAACTGAAAGAGGGAGAGGGAGAGAAAGAAAGATGCAAATCGCATCTGGGATATTCTCAAGTATGGGGTTAATCTAAATTTTTATTTATTTTTTTTTTATAAGGGGCATGGATATAATTTTTTGGAAAAAATTTGTACAGATCACTAATTCTTCATCTTATTTCACGGTAGATCCTCTTTTTAATTTTTTTTTCAAGTGGCATAAAAAAAACTCTCGAGTATTTCATTGTAGCTCATCATCTCCTTTTTCATGTTTATTCACTTTTGGCTACAAAAACTAGCTCTAATAAATTGTTTTATTCCATCATAATCTAAAACCTTTTTTAACCCAGTTTTACACTTTTAGTACCTAAGTGATTGAGATGGAATAAAACAATTTATTGGAGCTATGGTCAAAAGTTAATAAATGTGGGAGAGACGAGATGAAGGGGTACGGTGAAATACTCAAGGTTTTTTTATGTCGCATGAAAGAAAAATAGAAAGAGGGTTTATTGTGAAATAAGATGGAGAATTAGGGGTCTGTACGAAATTTTTTCTAATTTTTTTTATGAGTAGTTTATATGCAAATTTTAAAATTTTATTTTAAGATAAAATATGAAATGATCCACTTATATGTGGAAATTATAAAGAAGTTCGGTCATCTTATTTTTATTTTTATTTTCAAAATTACCTTACGGTCAACCTGATAAAATTGAGGGGTAATTTTGAAAAAAATAGAAAAAAATGGGTTGATCAACCTTCTTTATACTTTCTATATATAGACAGACTATTTTGTATTTTACTTAAAATTTTAAGGGTAAGCTTTTTATGCTTCTTCTATAGCATAGAAGTTCTATCCTCCCCTTTATCCAACCGTCCATTCTGAATGGACGTCCCAATCACTATTATGAATGAATATCCCAATCACTAAGATTGCCTCAATTATAATGTCACATCTTTACACTATTTTATTTTTAATTTCTTTTCTATAAACTATTTTGACACCAAATTTTGGACGTCCATTCTTCTATTAAACTCGCACTAGCGAAAAATATAAAAAAAAAAAGTTTCAATAAAATAAAATGTTCAAAATACCTTTGAAATCTTCAAGGGGTATTTTGGTCATTATATTTTATCGAAAAATTATTTTTAATATTTTTTATAAGTGCGTCCCAATGAGAAGATGGCACATACCAAATTTTATATTAATACAATTTATATAAAAAAAACTAAAAATAAAATACTTTGAGATGTCAGATCTAAGATCAAACGGTGAGTGGCTCTCTTGATCAAAATTGGACGGTTGTATGATAGGGGGGATAGAAATTCTATGTTGTAGGGGAAGCATAAAATTTTTTTCCAAATTTTAAAGATTATACGTAAATTAGGCATGAGGGGTAAAAAGGTATTTAGTTATAATTTAATTAGTTTCCTATTGACATGGAAGCGGGGGGTTAAAGATTTCAATTCAAATAAAAAAAAGATACGGTTACATGAGAGAGATATTGACTCGGGGGAGAGAGAGAGTCTATTTTTATGTTTGTTTTTTTTAATTGTCTTGTATTTAAAGTCTAACCTTCCACTTAGATTTGTAGAGAGTTTTTTAATGAATGAAGCTTTTTTCTGTTTTCTTATGGTTTAATTTACAAACATCTTTTGTCCTCATCTATTGGATATTTGCTTGTTTAATATTAAAAGAAGACATAATTTAATTTTCTGGATTCTTTTTACATCATTTGATATTAGAGCTAGGTTTGAGAATGGTTAGCGATTACGATGGCTGGTCATAGAAGTCACAACTATAGGAATGCTGAATATGACTAAATATACAAAGTCAACTTGACATAGATGGTTGAAAAGTCGTTGTAAAAAGATAAATTGCGACAACGCACATCAAACAATATAAGATCTACGGTGTTAGCTCCATATTATGCGAGCTCTTATGTAGATTGGCATAAATCATAATGCGACTCTAAGTGGGAACAACCTGATGTTATACTTGATTGAACTTATGGGTTCGATGCACGACAATATCGATCAGAGCGTGAATGAAGAGAAAAGTTGGGTAATCGACAATCCCAAAAACGATGTCATTGGCGTAGAGGAATAGACCAAACACAGTGCCAAGACAAACTAAGAAATAATTTTACCGTATACATATCCACTACTTAAGCAGGATCATCGCAGCTTAGGAAACTGACACCTCCAACTTAAAGAGTTATTGCTGCTAAATAAAATTACGACATGAGCAACACACAAGTGTACAAATAGAGATATGTGGTCTCTTGACCCAAATAAACTCAAAATTTATAACATAAATAGCATATGAATTAGATAGTACAAATTTTTGCTTCATGCCTCAAGATAAATTAGCTTCCATGATTACTACAAAAGTCTCAAGGCTAAGTTCTAACTTAGATGGCTCTTCAAAATCACCTCCAAATAGTCGAAGAACCGCTGAATTTGGGTTCAATCCAATGGATTTGTTTGGTTCGTCGAGTAGCTGACTTGCCATGATCAGCAAGTTTCAAGGGTATGTGATGATGACCTTGGGGAGCCATCAATGTTTTCGAGGACCATGGAAACTTGGGCCTCTTCAAGTTATGAGTCAATTCTTTCAAGGGTTTAAGGATAAGTCTAAACCATTGTCTTTGTCTATTTATCAATACACACTATTTGGATCTAGTTCCGGATCTGGCCCCTATCCGACCCGTTCTCACCGAGATGGGTGACTTGTAGAAAGACTTCAAAGCAATTGGTTTCTTTTATGGGATTGTATATAATGGGAGCATTTATCATTAATACAAGGAGGTCACAATTATTTATGACCATCCGATGTGAAATCGGTGTGATCTAGTTCGTAAAAATTTCTTTTGAACTTTGAGCTTAGTCAATGCAATAAATGTAACCATCCAATTTCACATCCAATTATCAAGATTAAATTGAACCATCTTGCACCAAAGATAAACATTCTCATTGTATACTTTTCTTCTTTTATACCGGGTGTGGTATCTATAAAGTTTAAACCTTAAACAAACCGATTAAGGGTACCTCCAAATTTTATTATAACATGTAGTTTTGGTGTAAAAAATTCTTAGAATTTGATTAGAATTTTTTTAAAATTTATTTTTATATCTAATTATAAAATTTTAAATTTCAAAAATAGTTAAAATCAAGTAGCATATGAAATCTTGAAAATGGACGGTCTAGATAATGTGCTGTTAGATGCATACACTATTTATAGGACTCAATCTTTTTTCTTTCATATTCATACATCTCGATGTCGAGATGATCATAGAGGGTTTTTCAACATTAAAACAATATTTTTTCAATGGATATTTGAGTTGTATATTTATTTCGGGAAAGGTTTATATACTTCTTCTACAGCATGGAAGATATGTGCTTCCCTTACCATCCAGCCGTCCAATTTTGATTAAGAGAGTCACTACTGTTTGATCTTAGATCCAACATCTCAAAGTATTTTATTTTTATTTATTTTTATACAAATTATATAGATATAACATTTTGTAGGTGCCATCATTTCATTGGGACGCACCTATAAAAAATATTAAAATTAATTTTTGATGAAATATAATGATCAAAATACCCTTTTGAAATTTTCAAAGGTATTTTGATCATTTTATTTTATTAAAAATATTTTTTTTATATTTTTCACTAGTGCGAGTTTAATAGAAGATTGGATATATAAAATTTGATGCCAAAATAGTTTATATAAACAAATTAAAAATAAAATAATATAAAGACTGTGATATTGTAATTGAAGCAATTTTAGCCCTCCCTTCATAAAGGAGAGTTGGATAAGAGAAAGTATATAAGTTTTGTGGTGTACGAAGTTTCTTTTTTGTTTTTTTGTTTATTTTTTTTAAAAAAAAAACGTTTACCGCTCATTATCGTAAAATCCCATAGGGTACACGTGCCAATTTAGAACGGACACATGTGCCAATTTAAAATATAGAAAGCTTGCCCATTTATAACGTAAACTTTGTCCTTTGTGCTTTTCCTTGGTTTTCCGAAAAGAGAAAACGGAAGAAATTTCAGATAAATTCTGATGAGGTGGCCACGTCGTAACTACGGCACACGTCTCTAAAAATGCTGCAAAACCCACATCTCACTCCAAACCTCCCCCACCTTCTGGTTTTCCGGCCATTTCCAGTGTTTCCTGGCACTTCAACTGGTTTTTCCGGCAAAAGCGGTACAAATTTCTTCATAAACATGGCACCAACCTCCTCTGAAACCCTCATACTTATCGATCGCAAACCCAATGGAGTAGCCTGGATCACAATTAACAGGCCAAAATCCTTGAATTCTCTAACTAGACCCATGTTTGTGGACCTAGCTAGAGCTTTCAAGTCTCTTGATTCTGATGATTTGGTGAAGGTTATTGTGATTACAGGGTCAGGAAGGGCTTTTTGCTCTGGTGTTGATTTGTCAGCAGCTGAAGGTGTGTTTAAAGGAGATGTGAAGGATGTGGAGAATGATCCTGTGATTCAAATGGAGAGATGCAGGAAACCCATTATTGGGGCCATTAATGGCTTTGCTGTGACCGCTGGGTTTGAGATCTCTCTGGCTTGTGATATTTTAGTGGCTAGTACCGATGCCAAGTTTGTGGATACTCATACCAGGTGGGTGCCATTTTCTGTGATTTGAGGTATTTTTGTTATGGTTTCTTGATTCTTGGGGCTCACTCTATATCATGCGCCACACCATTTACAACCCCAAATCCCAGAAACCAGAATTGTTCTCTCTCTCTCTCAACACCCCCCCCTCAACCCAACCCAACGCTCCCCCCCCCCCAACCCAACGATAAAAAAAATAAATTTTTTTTTCTCTGGAACTGGCTGGTGTATATCTTTTAGCTTTTAAATATCATGCTCTCTTTTAGTTTGTTTATGGTATCATATTTTCTTCGATATAATAATCCGCTGATCTCTTGCAAGGTTGCATTTTTCTTGGGTTTGTGGAGTTGCCAGTTTCTCTTTTGAGTTTCAACAAGCACCACATAATTTTATCAGTGTAGACAATCCCAGTTTTCAGTGGTGTGGGGTCATTCATGAAGCCATTAGAGGAAATATGGGGAATACTGAGGATACAAGAGTGGATTGGGGCATATAAAATTGGATATATAGGATATTGTTCTTGGCAAAGCCACCCCTTAGGTTCAATTCCCGTGGTCCCTAAAACCCACCTCATAGACTCAGCTAATCCAGTGTACATATTCATCAATGTCCCTGTAAATGATAAAAAGTAGCTGTGCACAAGGATTCCTTGTCATAGAATCATAGAAGGCAAATGCATTTTGAGTCCAAAGTTTGATGGAAGTTAACAATCCTATACATGAGGAGTGCCTTTTGGCTTTAGATGTAATGATTATAAGTTTCAGGAATATGCATTTTGGATTTCATAATCATTTGATTGTGTCAAAAATTGATGGATAAAAACGAAGTAAAGAATCAACTGGTAAGTGAGCAAAAAATGTAACAGCTGGATTCCATGGTAGAAAGCTGCGATTTGTGGTGGGGTCGTGAATAGCAGAATTCCAATAAACACTATTAGACTGACTCCCACGCTGCTATGGTGAAGTTATTCATACCAATGTGTATGTCTTCATTTATCATTCCCCAATTTAGAAGGACCATTGTCAAAGTATGGATATGTTGTGCATCAAATGCATGCCATTAAGAGGCACAGGGTTCTTCAATCCATCCCCTGATTGCCTATCAAGATAGGAGCAAATTATTAAATTTTTTTTAGATAACTTATGTTGTCATTGAACACAAATCCTTGTCGATGGTAGACAATACTCTTGCTTGAAGATGCATTCTTTTGTAAATTAGAATCCATAAAAAAAGCGAATTAAGTTTTTCTGAAAATTTGGCATGAAGAAGGAACTATACATGAAATCCCTGGCCTCTTAATAATCAGATACTTAAATTGAACTTCCATTGATCACAGCGGCCACCTAATTAAAACGGTTGTTATGAAAAACTTTGATTAGTGATGATAAACCTCTGAAGTTTTTTATTTGAGAAATAGGGTAACTCTATTAATGATAATAATATACTTGAAGGATTGCACCAAAGTCATGGATTTGGGACTAGAGTCGTCCGTTTTAAGAATGACATTTAGGAAGTGACAGGCTGCAAGAACATAGCAAGAGTAGATCTATGCAATTCCTGTTAGCTAAAACGGAAGCAAATGTAACTACAAGGATAAATTGGCAGATTAAGGCATACTCCAAGAGAGAAGAAGATTGTTTTAGGATAGCATCTTTCTTGTGGCATATCAGAGTCTTGTTGTCTGTTATGCTTTTTTAGGATTCACAGTTATTTTTACTGGTATAAAGGCTTTGGCTGAAGACATCTGCATGGATCTACTTGGTCAACATGTTGAGTATTTTGGTAGTACCAAAACTGAAAATGCTTGTTTTTGTGGTCTTAAAAATCTTCATGACTCAAGGCTGTTAGTGACCTTTGGTTTATTGAAAACGAGTATTATTTTCGCATGTAACTGATATAGTGGAAGTACAGTTATAGATTGAATTCATATCATGTGCCCCTCTTGGCAAAAGATTGAATTTATACACGTCGAAAGGCTTTTCAAAATGGAGTTTAGTGGAAGACATCTACCTGTAGCTACAAGATCAATATGTTGTACATGAAAGAAACCAAGTATGCAAACTGAAGATATCCTTTTATGTTTTTAAGAACCTTCCTAGCAAAAAGTTTCTTTTATGTTTCTCAAGGCTATATTGGTGAACTTGGTTTATTGAAAAGAAGCCTTTGCATTTTCAGCTGAGATAGTTAAAGTAGAGTTTTATATTATAAACATATCATTGATACCTTTTGGCAAAAGTCCTACATGTTGTGTGCATTAGGTGATAAACGAAGTCAAATTGCCTTTATGCAACATGGTGATAGCTCATGTCTAAGCTTTGTATTAGTCCTGATGTGTTCTTTCTTTAATAGCAGGTAGGGCTGGTAATGGTTCACCTGACCTGGCTTGGATAGGCCATGGCCTGGGCACTATATAACTGCTTTGCTTGGCCAGGCGCAGTCTGGAAATCCGAAGCCTGGTTGTATACAATTTAGTTTTAACATGTATAATTTATATGGAAGGGGGGGGTGGGGAAGAGAGAGATTTTGTGTTTTACATTTAAGAGAGAGATCTTAACTTTATCAAAGAGAGAGAGAGATTGAGTCTTATATGTACTATTGTTTTGATGATTTATTTTATATGTACGGAACGTTATGGCTCTTATATATACTTTAAAAGTGAAGAAATACACAACTAGTAGGTTGGCGCTTTAGTGGTTAGTGTGGATGTATGCTAGTGACATTTAGTTTGAATACCATCCCACCTATTTTATAATGCCTTCAAAACTTTAAAAGTGAAAACAAAAACTTGGGCTTTAAAAACTAAAACTCAGGCCATGACCTAATCCTACGCCCAGCCTAGCCAGGCTGGACCCATATTTGAGTGGCTCAAGCCAACTATTGACCTGAAGGGTTGGGCTGGGACCCTTAAGCTCGGTCTGGACTTGGGCTAGCCTTCTAGTTTACCAAGCTTGGCCAGGTCCAACCCTTGCTCTGCCAAATCTGGCACATGCCAGGCCTACTAGTAGGGTATGCATATAATGAAAATGTTAAAATATTTTAGAAATAAAAACTTGGGACTTGACTTAGCCCTAGGCCTTACCCAACTGGTCTTGATCCATATTTGGGTGGGTCCGGGCTAACTATATACTCAAAAGGGTTGGGCCAAGACCCTTGAGCCAGGGCTGGGCCTGGGCCAGCCTTCTAGTTTTTCAAGCTGGGTTCTAGCCAACCCTTGCCCTATCCAAACCCTGGTCCATTGCCAGGCCTAAGTAGTAGGATATGTATATAAATTCCAAATTTTGATGAATATGCCTAAATTATTGCTCTCCTTGTCTGGGCTTGGGCCAGGCCTTTAGTTTACTTGGCAGATCTAGGCCAACCCTAGCCCGGCCCATTGCCAGGACTACTAGTTGGGTGGGTATATAAGAACAGTGTTCAAATTTTCACGACTATGCCCAAATTACTGCTCTTCCTGAATTTGACGAGATGACCACGACTCCTTGACTTAGCTGAAATGACCTAAATAGCCCTTATGGAAGTGACCATTGTACCTTTTTTTTTTTTTACACAGGTTTGGGATATTTCCGTCATGGGGCCTCTCTCAGAAACTTTCTCGAATAATTGGGCCAAATAGGGCTCGTGAGGTTTCTTTATCCTGCATGGGGGTGAATGCTGTAAAGGCAGAGAAATGGGGTTTGGTTAACCATGTGGTGAGCGGAACAGAGCTCCTAAAGAAGGCCGAAGAAGTTGCAGAGGCCATTATTAAAAATGACGAGGGTATGGTTCTTAAGTACAAGGCTGTGTTAAATGCAGGACTTAACCTAAGCTTGGGTGATGCTCTTGCCCTTGAGAAGGTAACACCTTCTTTATTCTCTCAGTACGCTTTTGATCTTTTGATAAATTTGGGAAGGGCTTAAAGTTATGTTTCAGAAACTGAGTTGTTTTGGTAATGATATGCCATTCTGATTTCCAATGAATCATCTGGAATCTGCATTGTTACTTATGTTTTTTTCCTGTGAGAAAAGAAATGTTTACTTTTGGAAAGAGTTTATATAAGGTGTCAACCATCCAAAATCCATCAGAAAAGGTTGTTTTCGAACAATTCGACCTCAAGATGTATGGATATGGAAAAATAAATAAATGGTCTATTATGTAACACATTATCTAGACTGTCAGTTTTCAAGATTTTCATGTATTTGTAGATCTGCTCAATCTGCATCATTTTTTAAGTTTTAAATTTCATAATTAGCTGTGAAATAGATTTTCAGGTCATCATTGAAAATTCCGACACCAAAACATTTTTTATTAGGTTTGAAGGTGCGTCTTACTTGGATTGTTTAAAGGCCGACACTTTATGCAAACCGCACCTTTTACTTTTTTTGTATATTTGTTTTGAACCTTGGATAATTTGTGCACTGTTACACTAAGTAAATTGATTTGGAAAAATTAAAAAGAAACTGTGTCTAATTTTCTTTTCTATATTTTCTTCAAAAAATCTTCTGTGAACAACAAAAAAAATTTAACTTGCGCATATGCTCTCTCTCTCTCTCTCTCTCTCTCTCTCTCTCTCTCTCTCTCTCTACTTACTT